CATGCTTTGTCCTATACATTGTTATACATAATTTACATGTAGCAATTTATTTAATCCTTACAACAATTTTACAGGATTAGGAGGGGTTATGAGAAACTAAGAAACTGAGGTACAAAGAGGCTAGGTAACTGCCTGTGGTCTCAGAGCAGAGATTCAAACCCAAGAAATTAAATCAGTACAAGAATGGCCTCTCCAAACTATCATAGCTGTGAAGAATTAATGACATTGACTTGGGCACTGTATAAATGGTGGTACCCTTAAAAGACTGGGGAAGCGGATTTGCAGGAGAAATGAGAGGATGTAAAGCCAGATTTCTTTTTCAGCCATGTTAAATTTGAGATATCTATAAGACATCCAAATGGAGATATACTGTAAGAGCGGTAGCTGAATATAGTAGTTTCCAATTCTGTAGAGAAGTCAGGACTTGGAGGAACACAGGATCTGTCACACAGAATAGGTGACAACTGACAGTACTAATGCTATACAACAGAAAATATAAAAAGATTAGCAGTGTAGGACAAAGTTCTGAGGAACTCCTTAGTAATTGGAAGGGAAATGATCCAGCAAAGGCAAATCTAAGAAGCAGTCAGAGAAATAGGAGGAAAACCAGAATTATCACAGCAGCCAAGAAAAGATGTTTCAAGAGGAATGGAGTGGGCTACTCTACCAAATGTTGCTGAGAGATCAAAAAAATGGTGACAGAAAAGTGAACACTGGATCTGGCAAAGTCGTGATTAGTAAACTTGAGAAAAGTAGTTACTGTGAAATGGTGAGGATAGAAGCAAACTAGATGCGAGTGAATACAGGAAAAAAAAAACGCTGATAAGAAAGTAGCAAGAGCGTCTATGGACAATGCTTTGTGAAAATTTACAAAGAAGGGAAACAGAGAGGAGGTAGTAGAGGAGGTCAGGGTAACAAGGGTGTTTTTCCCAAGGTGGGAAACACTAACTAATGAATATTTGTATGTTCATGGCAATAATTTAGCACATGACTTCTAAATCTTTTTCCAACACTAAGCAACGAAATACAATTTAGTTGTAAATTTCTTTTCCTTCAGCCAGAAAATATTTTGCCTATTCAATAAAATCCATAATTAGGAATATTTCTAGGGAATTTCCACATCAGAAATGGGTGGTTCTAAAACACAATATTTAAAATTACATAATGTGGCTGTGCAATACTCAAATCACAAAACATAATCAAGATGAAAATCTAGTGTGGTCATAAAAAGAAATTCTATGATTGCCCACATCACAAAATGTTCTTTTAAAAAAAATGTTATAATTCCTGATGCTTAATTACCTGTAACTTTCCATCAGCTACAAGCTGCTATTACCCCTTAAATGCATATGTAAATAAAATGGAGCTTCAATTTTTAAAATAATTTTTTCTATCATTTAACTGATTTTATTCTAAGTAAGTCCTACCTATAGCAAGACAAAATATCCTGAGAAGGCAGTGACAGCAATATAAACCAACAAAAGAAATCACTACTTACCACATCTACTGAGACATATGGTTACTAGTTAACGTCTAACAGTTACTAACAATCTTCATATAGTAGACATGTGTTAATCATTCTTACACCAACTAGGCATTGTTAGAGCATTAAACAGTGTTTGCTCATACTGAGTATAATGACACATGCAACCAACAAATGGTAACAGAGTGAAATCAAGGTAAGTAAAAGGCCTATGATTCCATTCAATTGAGGAAAGAAGAAAAGGTGGGGATGGGTATTGTTGTTGGGATTAATCTGTGGCTTAATTTATAAATTTTCCAAATTCTGAGTGAGTTAATTAAATTTCCATTCATTTTCGAGTCTCAGTTCTGCCACTAACATAAAGAGAATAAAGAAACAACTACAAAAATTTTGGTTAAACTGATTACTTCTTAGATACTTGTCCATTCTCCCACTAAATGTACATTACTTCTTTAAAAAATAAATTTAAAGGGGTGGGATAGGGAGAGTAGGAGGGAGGGAGACACAAGAGGGAAGAGATATGGGGATATATGTATATGTATAGCTGACTCACTTTGTTATAAAGCAGAAACTAACATAAAAAATTTTTTAATTAAAAAAATAAATTTAAAACAAACTTAACCACACCAAAGCATGCCAGAAATAGTGGACAATCATATACTAATAATATCTTTTCTCTGTTTATGTCACCACAGAATGGCCTCCTGTGACCATCTAACCTAGTATGTTTTCCCTGATGGTCTTCATCACTGTACCATTAATTTTCTCCACTGCACTTATAATAATTGCTAACTATTTGTTTGCTTACTTGTTTATTGTCTGTCTTCCCAATGGACTGAAAAGCAGAAAACCATAAATGTTTTCATCACCAAATATAACCAGCTCCTGCGCAGATATCTGGTATTCCAAAAGGTGCCCCTCAAATATTATTTAATTGATGTGAATAAGTGAATGTGTTTTATAGTCTACCAAGATTACTTAGGAACAAAGGTTTCCAATTAGAACGTAGGTTTAGAATATGTTTCCAATTATATAAGCTTACATCTCATTAAAAATAATAATGGTATCATCTAAAAACGATTGTATTTTTTAGTCTGTTGATACAGTTAATTACACTGATTGACTTTAGAATAGTGAACCAGCTTTGCAATAACAGAATAAATGGCCCTTCATCAAGATACACTATCCTTTTTATATACTGCTGCATTCTCTTTGCAAATATTTTGTAGAGGATTTTTACATCCATGTTCGTGAGGGAGAGTCTGCAGTTTTTCTTATTACGGCTTGTCTGGTAATGCTGGCCATAAAATGAGTTGAGAAGTGCCCCCCTCTTCTATGTTTATGTAGGATTAGTATTATTTCTTCCTTAAACGATCATTTCAAGAGATACAGGAAAGTCATTTAAGAAAATTCAACAGTGATCCATGATAAAATCTCTCAGCAAACTCGGAAAAGAAGGGAACTTCCTTAACCTGATAAAAAAGCATCTACCAAAACCCTACACCTAACATATCTAATGATCAAAAATCAAATGTTTTCCCTCTAAGTTCCAGAACAAGACAAAGATGTCCTCTCTCTCTCCATCCTACTCAATTTTGTATTAAAGGTCCTAACTAGTTCAACAAGAAAAATAAATAAAAAGCATACAGATTGAAAAGGGAAAAATAACACAGTCTAACCACAGAGAATATGACTGTCTGTATAGAAAATCCCGAAGCATCTACCAAAAAAAGCCACTAGAGTAAGTGAATTTAGCACAGCAGCAGGACAAAGTTAACACGTAAAAATAAATTATACTTCTATACATAGCAATGGACAACTAGAAAATGAAATTTTAAAACACCATCATTTACAATAGCACCAAAAATCATTAAATACTTAGGTATAAACAAACATAAAAATGTGCAAGATCGACATGCTAAAACAACAGACCACTGTTGAAAGAAATCAAAGACCCAGGTAAATGATGAGAGGTACCATCTTCATGGATTGCAAGACTCAATATGGTTATGATATTAATTTTCCCCAAAATATATCTATAGGCCTAGTCATCAAAATCATACCAAAATTTTTTGTGTAGGTTGACAAGCTGATTCTAAAATTTATATCGATAGGCAAAGAAACTAAAACAGCCTAAACAATTTTGAAAAGGAATGAAGTTTGAGAATTCATACTATTTAATTTCAAGACCACAGTAATAAAACTACAGTAATCAAAACAAACACATAGATCAATAGAATAGAACAGAGCCCAGATATATGGTAAATTGATTTTTAACTAAAGTTATAAAAGTATCTGGAATTAGGTCTGAGAGAAATATGCTTCCTTCCTAGGGCACTAAATCAGAAGTTGTAAATACTGACTTCTTCAGAAGGAAAATTTTTTTCTTTACAAAGCCGTCAAAATGTTTTAGGCAAAAAAATGAACAACGAATGTCAAAGAGGGTAAAACAAAAGAAAATTAATATTGATAGGAAATGCCACCTTAATAATAACATGAAAGATATATGCTGTGTTCCAAGCTTTGTTCATTACTAAATTACTAGATTACTAAAGAGACAAGAATTGAGGCAGTAATAATCATTTCAATAGCATGTAATAAACCTGAATAAAAAAATAGTTTGCTGACAACATTAAAATAAAGCACTTCTATCTGCTTTCTTTATATAAGGAATTTTCTACAAGCTTTCAAAACCGAAAACCAATGAAGTACAGGATGAATCATTATTCCTTGGTGATGAGAAGGAAGATTATTGGGGAGGGGAGAAGTATGATAAACTAAGAGGGCAGTAAAAAGTAAACTTGCTGTTGAGAATGAAAAACAGGAGAAGACAAAATACACCTGAGCAAATAAAAAGTTTATACCTGGTAGCACTTATTGTCCTTTTGATCGAGAGGCTGCGAGATGTTCCCTCTTCCTTCCCCATCCCGAACCTCCAACACCCAAACGAACTTAAAGGGTTGTAGCTGGCAAAGGATGACGTGGGAATTGAGCTTTCCTATGGTATAAAAGCAACTAAATTCCACTTTTAAGAAACTGGAAGAGAAAGGGGGCGTGGCGGAGAAGAGAAGTGACTTGATCGGACGAGAGAAGATGACTGGAAGATGATTTCATGGTGCAAGTGGCGGATGAGATTACAAGGACTGAGTGGGAGCCTTTACAAAGCTTGGAGTCGGGTGTTGCAGGCAAATTAGTCACCTAGAAGGTACAGGGCTGGGACAATCATGGATTCGGCACTAGCAGGAGGCAAAACGAAGAGAGAAGAGGAACTGGAATACAGGGTGAACGTCCCTCAAAACCTCTGACCCAAAAAACCCAGGAAATGCTGATGACGGGGAATGGGACCAGAGACAGCTGGGAGCATCTCCAGGACCCAGGTGGAAGGGAAGCGGCCGCAAACAGGGCACGCCCGTCTGAAGGTGAGCAAGAAGGACCCTCACGGAGTTAAATCCCAGACTCCTGGGGAGTGCAGGGGTGTAGGCGGCCAGGGTCCCAAGCGACAAGACACCTCACTCACCTGGTTGGTGACCTGAAAACGAAACAGAGAACACTATTTAGCGACAAACTGCCCGGGACTAGAGGCGGCAGCCCGGTGCCCTCCGCCCCCGCCCGCGGCCTCAGGCCAAGACCCGAGCCACGCTCACCTCGGGATTGGCCTCCAGCGGCAGCCAGCGTTGACTCTCCATTGCCACTCCGCCCGGCCCCTCTCCAGCTCTGACAGCCGCCGCCGCTTCCGCCCCCTTGCTCCTGACCTGGACCCGTCCAACCCTGCGCCCCGAGGGAGGGGTGCCGAGAGACGAAGAAAAGTCTAACAACACCCTAGCTCCTTTATCGCTCGCTACAGAACCACAAGTCAAGGTTTTCACTTTAAATTAAGATACAATCGGAGAGGAAAAGAATAGGAGTCAGCTTCCTATTGCAGAAGGGAAAAGAATCTCAGCTCTCTCCCCTCGCGCTTGGACTCTTCCGAACCGACGAGACTGCTCCAGTGCCACGCATGCGCCAAGCGCGGGTCTGGGACCGCGTGCTCTCCGGCGCCCTCCCATGCCTGTATCATCAGCCGGAGACGCTAGGGGGCGCGCCGCTGAGTCCTGTTCGTCGAGGGAGGGACCTGGGCGCTGCCAGTCAGGAAGCCCCGCACCCAGGGGACGCCAGTCGTGCTCGGAAGCTCCTTTGCCAGGGTGCAGAAGTGATATGTCGGCCTTGTCTGCTGTTACAGAGTGGGGAACATTTCTATATACCTACGCAGTTCCGTGTAGAAAAAATGTCAAGTACCTATTAATGAATCAGACGCTGTAACTAAGTGTTGGGTACGCAAAGCTAAGCTTACAGTAGGGTAGAAGAGGTGGACAAAAGAACGAAGAATCACAATGAAGTGTGATACACGTGTGATAGTGGTAGCATGAGGTTGCTGAAACTACACAAAAGGGCAGCTAACGGGGAAAGGGAGTGTCCAGAAGGCTTCCTGGAGGAAGTGGACAGCTGGAGTGAGCCCTTAAAAACGTCGATGGTAGCCAGTCAGAGAGGAGGGTGCTCGGAAGAAGGGAAAGTGTGCACTGTGGCTGCAGAGCCTGCAAGACTGAAGGGCAGTGGTTAGAGACAGTTTTGGAGAGATAGGAAGGGACTAACGGGTCAAGATATCTGGGCTTCATACTGAAAACAGCGGGGAACCGCTGAAGCATTTTAAGGAGAATTTTCATCTCTCTTTTCCATCAGGCTGTGAATTCCATAAGGCCTGCAGCAATGTCATTTTTGAATTCCTCACATCGTTTTCCCCAAAGCCTAACCCAGTGCCTGATACATAGTAGATGCTCAACAAATATTTGAGGAGTGAATGGAATAATCAGATATGCATAAACCCCATTTTCAATAATGTGGAAAATTTGCCAGAGTGGAATGATGAGAGACTTAATTAAGGCAGTAGCGGTGACGGAGGGGCAGGAGGGGCAGGCATAGATTAAAGAGATACTGTTTGAAGGGGGTATCCTACTGCTGAGCCCGCACTGTCAATGACGACTCCGGAGATCTGACCTGGGGTAGAGTGCGTGTTACTGCTGCACCCAAGAGAGGGAATGCAGGGAGAGGAGCAGTTAGGGAGTGAGGAAAAGATAATTACACTGAGCTTGCCTTTCTTGGGGAACTTCCAACTCTCCCCCTCATGTTCTTCTGGCCACTATTCAACTTCCAAGGAATTTCCAAGATTCCCCATTCTCCTTATCTACCTGAGAGATTGTTGCAATACCACCCAACTGTGAGGTGGTACATCTGAAATGTCCAGCTCATCATGGGAAGCCATAGTTGCATAATCACTTCAGTTGCACAGCCAGGCTCTTAGTGGCATGCCAGGGGTTGTTTTTCAAATGACTTACTGTCAGAGGAATGGCGTTGGTCCAGAACCTTGAGGTCCTGCACTGTGACTCTCCTGTTAGGGCTTCCCTAGGACTCCACACAGCGTGGACCTCTCTAGCACCATTGGATCTGCTGAGATATAGGGCCAAACAGAAGGTAGCCTGCATTCCAGCATGGACTTGCTGCAGAGGACTCTCTTGCTCAGGGATCTACTCAAACTGGCAGCCATCCATATCACCCAATAAACGTGTTGCACCTGTATTCCCAAATGTGATGTATGCTGCATCCAAAAGCCAGAAACCCACCAAGTGCTCTGCCTCTTCCCTGTTGATAGGAATTGCAGGGTACAATAGCTTATCCTTCATCTTAGAGAGGTTGTCCCATTATGGGCTAGACCTTTGGACCCATAAAAGCCTTATGAGGGACTTCCCTGGTGGTGCAGTGGTTAAGAATCTGCCTGCCAACGCAGGGGACACGGGTTCAATCCCTGGTCCGGGAAGATCCCACATGCTGCAGAGCAGCTAAGCCTGTGTGCCACAACTACTGAAGCCTGCGCGCCTAGAGCCCGTGCTCCGCAACAAGAGAAGCCACCACAATGAGAAACCCACTCACCGCAACTAGAGGAAGCCCACGCACAGCAATGAAGACCTAATGCCGCCAAAATAAATAAATAAATAACTTAAAGAAAAAAAAAACTTTATGTATGTAGTAGCCTCTGATCTTTGTAGGGTTTAATTCTCAGCCTCTGGCATGCATATACCCACCATGGTATTGAGTCCAGTACTTCTTAAACTTGGATGTACATACAAATACCTAGGGAATCTGAAATGCAGATTTTGATTCAATAAGTCTAAGATGGGGCCCAAGATTCTGCATTATTGGCTCCCTTTTTGTTTTGTTTTTTAATTTTTTAATTGAAGTAGAGTTGATTTACAATGTTTTTCTGGTGTGCATCAAAATGATTCAGTTATACATATGTATAAGGTCCCTATGTTTCTTTTTGTTTGTTTTTTTGCGGTACGCGGGCCTCTCACTGTTGTGGCCTCTCCCGTTGCAGAGCACAGGCTCCGGACATGCAGGCTCAGCGGCCATGGCTCACGGGCCTAGCCGCTCCGCGGCATGCGGGATTCTCCCGGACCGGGGCACGAACCCGTGTCCCCTGCATCAGCAGGCGGACTCTCAACCACTGCACCACCAGGGAAGCCCAGATCCCTATGTTTTAATTCTTCCTTTATCTATACCCTTTGCCATATAACACTGAAGTTTTTTCCACTAGGGGCAAAGTAGTGTCAATCCTCATTATTCATGGGTTCTGCGTTTTGAATTTATCTACTTGCTAACATTTATTTGTAACCCCCAAATCAGTACCCATGTCACTTTCAAGGTCATTCACAGACATGCTCAGAGTGGCAAAAAAATTGAGTTCCCAGCTGAGGTCAAGCAAGTCTGTGCTCTGCCTTCTTGTTCAAGGTCTTGTATTGGAAATGTGTCCTTTGTGCAGTCTATTTAGTGCCACATTTTTTAGGCATTTGTGTGCTTTTTGTTGATGATTTCACTGTATAAAATGGCCCCAAGCATTGTGCTCATGTGCTGTTTTGTGTTCCTACACACAGGAAGACTGTGATGTGCCTTATAGAGAAAATACATGTATTAGGTAAGTTCCTTCAGGCATGAGTTACAGTGCTGTTAGCCCTGGGATCAGTGTTTACGAATCAACAATATAGATTAAATGTGGGGACTTTCAACAAAAATACACATAAAAAATGTGTTGATTTGTTGATTAAAATGTGACCAGAGGCTCACAGGAACCTAACCTGTTTCCACTAGGAGCAATGGTTCAGTATTTACTAACTCAGCATTCGTGGTAGCTTTATAATGAGAATTAACTGTATATTTACCCACTCCTTGACATTGAGTTCAGCCATGTGATTTGTTTTGGTCAATGAAATGGGGCAGAAATAATTGTATGCCAGTTCGAAATCCAGGCCTGAATAAGTTTCTGCTTGCTGTTTGTACTTGTGTCATCACCTGGAGAAGAATGAGCTTGGGCCAGCCTCCTGGTTCCAGGAAGAGAGTAAGGACACGTGGAACATAGCAGAAACACCTCAGCTGAGCCCAGCCTCCACTGGCCAACTCACTGCTAACCCCCAAGACATGTAAGCTAAATAAATGTTTGTTTGTAATATGACATTGGGAATTTGTGGGGGGGCAGGACTTTTTTACACAGCAACACCTAATTGCTATATCTACCAAAATTTTTCATACTCAAATTCAAAGTAGTCGTCAGATAATTGATACAGCTGCCCCAAATTCTAATAACCAAATAAAAACATGCAGTTGAACCTCCAAAAAATGTTATTTACTACATGACTAAACTCATAGTTTCATTTTTTTCAGCAACTGTTGCAAATTCAGCAGCTTCTATTCAAACACACTGGGAAGTTTTTGACAAACTGATGTTTGATGTCTTAACGAAAGTATTTGAGACTCAAAAACTGCTCTCTCATTTTTATAAATTTCTTTCTTATATTCTGAGGGATCTGGCAACTTCTCCAACCTTGAACTGAAATAAGCAACACTTTTGTTTTATCTACTCAAGTATATCCACCTTTTTAGGAATTGTAATTTGGTTGATTTGTAAGAACACATGGAATTTTGGTCGTTCCTCCAATAACCCATATTTGCCTTACTGATCTAAGTTTACAACACACTGTTCTCTTTCCATGCCTGGTTCCATTCCTGGTAACTTTTTTTATGCCAAATCACAGCATAATCTTTTTTTTTAAAAAGGAACATTTATTTATTTATCTATCTATCTATTTATTTATTTAGTTTGGCTGCGTTGGGTCTTTGTTGTTGTGTGCAGACTTTCTCTAGTTGCAGCGAGCGGGGGCTACTCTTCGTTGCGATGCGCAGGCTTCTCATTGCGGTGGCTTCTCTTGTTGCCGACCACGGGCTCTAGGCGCGCAGGCTTCAGTAGTTGTGGCACGTGGGCTCAGTAGTTGTGGCTCGCGGGCTCTAGAGCGCAGGCTCAGTAGTTGTGGCGCACGGGCTTAGCTGCTCAACAGCATAGTCTTTTTAAAGGCATTTCACATGGCATTTAAACATAGTATGTACACAGCCAGCAATACCCGTGATTCAGTAAAAGTGTTGAACAGCTGTAACCAAGTTCACGTATACACCTGCAAAAACAACTGAGTCACACCTGCTGCCTGCCTACCCGCCACTGTAAGCAGCCATCTGATGCAATGTGCAGTATGATTTCTCAGCAGTCAAATGCAAAAAAATATGCATCTAACAATTGATGAAATTCGGTATTTGTACAACACCTGACTTAATCAAATAAGGTTGTCATTGCAGTCATAACCAGCTCAGGGAATCTTCTAGGATGAGGCCTCACCTGGCTTTCCTTAGGGCTATGGGGGGGGGGGTGTCAATTTCGCTACACACCTGTAACTCATTCATGGCACACCATCATGATTACTCTGTCTTATATTACTTGTCATAATAGGAATACCTCCAGCTGTCTTCATGCTGTATCTGCCTTTAGCCTTTGTTGCATTGCCAAATAACCGTCCTAAAACATAGCCTTTTTGCAATACTTAAGAACATATCGGGACTTCCCTGGTGGCGCAGTGGTTAAGAATCTGCCTGCCAATGCGGGGGACCAGGGTTCGATCCCTGGTCGGGGAAGATCCCACGTGCCTTGGAGCAACTAAGCCCACAAGCCACAACTACGGAAGCCCGTGAGCCTAGAGCCCGTGCTTCTGCAACAAGAGAAGCCACCGCAGTGAGAAGTCCACGCATCGCAACGAAGAGGAGCCCCCACTAATAGCAACTAGAGACAGCCCGCGCGTGGCAACAAAGACCCAACACAGCCAAAAATAAATACATAAATAAATAAATAAAAATTAACTTAAAAAAAAAAAGGACACATCGAAACTTAACACAATTTGGTCTCATCTGTCCACAGTATGGATGAAAAATTGTCCGCACCTGATCAGAAATCACGACTAACATAATATTGTTGTGTTTCTATAAGCCAGGCCCTTAATCTATTTAGGTCTCATTTTTAAAATGAGACTCTATAAGTTCCCCTTAAGCCAAAGGTTAAAAAGTATGTCGTGCAGCTTTCAGGTGAATGTGTGACTCGGCCAGATGAGCTGAAAGAAGAATGTGGGACAGTGACAATATGGAACATATAAAACCTATCTAAATGCATTGCCATTCAGTTTCTGATAGAGTTTGTCTTACTTGCTTTGTTTTGTTTTAAATATGTAGGTCCGTCAGATTTGGCCCCAAATCTAACATCTGTGGTACGTACTCTGCTTTAAGCTCTAAAACCTCTATGATTCTAGCATCAGTGATCATGCTTATTCTCCGTTCTGCATCGTTGCTCAGGCTGCCCGTGGATTTCCACCACTACTTCCCCCAACACCCCTGCAACACACACAAACACACACACAATCATCCATATTTTTCAGTAGCCTGGAGTATAAATAGAACATTCAATTAGCACAAGGCAGCTGGAAAAGGATTTCAGCAGGTACACTGGGAGCGCTAAACCCCTCTGGAGTTCTCTGAAATTAGATTGCAGACCGTAAATTAAAACCAGAGTTTGAAGTTTTATCTATTAGTTAGCTGATATTGCTTAACATTCCTGAATTTCCATTTTCTCAACTTTAAAATGGAGATAATTTGTGATCTAGATAACTTATAGGCTTCTTTTGAGGCCTGACTATCATGACGATGATAATAGGAGCTGGTATTTATTGAGTACTCGCTATGTTCAGGAACTTTGCTATGTGCTTTACGTATGGGATCTCACAGAACCTTTCATAAAGCCTTGTGAGACAAATATCTACAGCCTGAGTGTTACAGATTAGAAAGCCGATCTCCAGAAAGTCTGCCTTTACTCAAGGCGTACACCTGAGTGGCAGAGGGTTTTAGATTCAGGCCTATGTGACTATAAAGCTCCCAGCACTTCGTGTTATCCTCCACGAAGGAGGGTAACAAAAAGCATGCCCACCCCACCTCCAAGCTAGGCCAGTGAAATGAATCCGAGTGACAGAAGTTAATCATAAAACTAAACGTCCCATTGGCATCTCCCTCGCAGGACAAACATCTGTGGGGAAGGAGGAGGGATTGTCCCACAGCTTTCAAACTCGGTTAACATCAATTTCTAACAAGTCTGCGCAGCTGCAAGTCTGCGCTCGCTCAAAGGGCTCCTTGGGCTGCAGGCAGGAAGAGTCCACGTCCATGGCATAAGTAGGGGGCGACGGCACCTAAAAGATAATATATCCTTCCCTTCACAAGGTATCCGCCAGTTTTCGGACCTTTTCCCCTACAGTGTATCCGTTGTTACTGATCGGCTACATAAAACTGATGTCTAATTGAGATTAAGGATGAGGTATACAAAGATATTTCTGCCCTCCTCCCCCCACGTCCGCTGCGTGCGACGGGCCGCGAGGGGCGGGAAGAGGAAGCGGAAGAGGTGGTGGTCCCGGGAGCTTCCACCTGAGCCGGTGGAGGGATTCCGGGGCGCTGCTATGGAGGGGTGTAGCGAGCCACAGCTGGATGCTAAGGCCAAGGTAAGACCTGGCCTGGAAGGAGCCGGGGCAGTGGGCTCCGGCGCAAGAAAGATCGTTCCCTAAATTATGTTTTCTGCTTCCATTTCAGGTCACCAACCAGGTGAGTGAGTGGCCATCCCTCGCGGCCTCCGCCGGCCTCGGCTGGACAAGTGGCGGGCGGCTGCACCTGGTCCTCCGCCCGCCTCTGGCAGCCGCGGGACGCTGCCACCGTGAACCTTCCCCAGCTCAACCCCAAACCAAGGCCCATGTCCGTGAGCCCGTGCCTTTCCTCCCGCCACCCTGCATTGCTCCTTCCACTTGGCTTCTGAGGTAGTAGCCACTGTCATTGTAATTTAATCTTCCCCACCCACTCCAGCCCGAAGAGTACAGACCAAATATTGTTCTTCCTTGATTAAGCGCCGTTGATTCGATACTAGGTACATAGTATTTGGGGATGTAATACATAGAGAGAAGAAATTATCAAAATTTCCAAAGATAGCTGCGCAAACATTTTCTTAAGTCTTTAAAAAGCAGTTTGTGGAAGAGGGAGAGTTTACCCTTTAACCTTTCAGTGTCTGTTTTTTTTTTATGCTTGGAATAAGAATTTGATTTTTAAAGTATGTCTTAGGACTGTCTCTTTGTTCTGAGTGTTCCTGTCCTGTTTCAGCTAATAAACTGTTTTTAGGCAAATAGCTTATAACACTTCCCAGAAGAAGAGTACTAAAACTAGAGTATTTGAAATACAGGAGTTACCCAGGACCACAAAGTATAAGAAAGGGCTGGGATAAATAATGAGAACACGGGGGCTGAGAGATGCCCTTTGACTGCTCTCTGACATCTGTCTCCAGCTGATCTTTTTGTTTTTGAGGATTCCTGGGAGATAGGGGGAAACTCAGATAGCAGTCACTCCCCTGTCTGGCTTTGCTCTGAGTTACTGCTCAATAACTTGGACTCAGTCTCTCAGAAATCATCTTATCCATTTATTATACTTACATTAAGTCATATGTTTGCGTAAGGTATCCTGAAACTGAATTATAGTAAATTATAGGGTTTTAAAAGTTGAACCTTTTGGGGGTGTGTGTAGGGGGAGGTGTGTTTAAAACAACACAAATTTATTCTTATAGTGCTGGAGATCAGAAGTCCAAAATTAGTCTTGTGGGACTAAAGCCAAGGTGCCAGCAGGGCTGTGTTCCTTTTGGAGGTTTTAAGGGAGAATCTGCTTCCTTGTCTGTTTCAGCTTCTAGAGGCTGCCTGTGTTCCTTAGCAATGGCATCTACTTCCATCTTCAAAGCACATCCTTCCAGCCTCTGCTTCTGTCATCACTTCTCTTTCTGCCAGCATCATCATATTGCCTTCTCTGATTCTGACCCTCCTGCCGCCTTCTTATAAAGCCCAACGTGTGCCTTAAAATAAATGAAAAGCTGAATAGACTGAAAAATGAACAGTTCTTCTTGGATAAGTCAGAAAAGTGAGGTCACAGGGCAAACTCCTGTCTCCCAAATTGGAGAGACAGGTGAATACAGAGAAGCACAACTTAACCAGAACAGAAACCTCCGTGAAAACCAGTGCTAGGGGTAGGAAAACCTAAACCATAATTGATGAATTACTGGAGGCTCAGCGTGGACAAGGCCGAGTTAAAATCTCAGGCACCCACCTACACCCCAGTCATTAGGGGGACCTCACACTTTTGTGAGTTTTACCTCCAGGAACTCTTAAATTGAACCTTTTTATTCATAGTTCATGATGTGTCTTTTAAATATTATATTGCTAGACAAAATGATTACGTGTATTCAGCAGTCTTGTAGGGGGAGAAACCTTGACCTAGCAGTAAGTCATTTCTGTTTGTAGTATATGCTTTTTACATGTACCAGATATAGCTAATTTTTAGGGCTAACACTAGTTTAAATTCCTTGAGCCATAATACCTTCTTTCTTTCTTTAAATATTTCTCACCAATATAAGAATCAGCGAGGCTAACTGGGACCACACCTCCCGTGAGAGTGCAGACCCCGCATACAATCCATCAGAATACTGTTTTCTCTACCTTTAAAAATATTCTCTAAATTTACCTCGCCTTGCTGCCACCTGAGTCCCAAGCACCACCCTCTTGTGTAGATACCGTAATGGTCTCCCAATTGAGTCTTTTTGTTTTCCTTCTTAAACTTAATGCCCTGTTCATCAATCTGGAGGAGACTTTTGCGGTCTAAGTTAGACCAGGTCTTTTCCCTGCTCGAAGCCATTTAAGAGAGTACTGTCTCACTAGAAAAATGTCTTAAGTATTTTCCTTGACCTAAAGGCCCTTCAAAAAGTGTTTCTTTGTCTCTTACCTCTCTTCCTAGCTCACGCCACTCCAGCCATGCGGGCCTCATTGTTGTTCCCTGCGCAGGCCAGGCATGCGTCTCCCTCTGTCCAGAATGCTCGTTTCTCCAGTTATTCTTGTGGCTTTTTCCTTCACTTTACTCAGGTGTCTTTCTATTCAAAACCTACCTCCTCACAGAGGTCTCCCCCAGGCTCTGTCTAAATAGCCTTCCTGGTCACTCTGTCCCCTTACCTGCATTTAAAAAAATTCTTTTTATAACACTTAGTACAATGACACTGTATATATATTTGCTTATTGTCTGTCTTCCCTACTAGAACGTAAGTTCCTGAGGTCAGGAACCCTTTGTTTTATTTTTTATAGCCCCAGTGCCTAGAACATACTATTGTTTCGTAAATATTTAACTGAATATTGGGGCATAGAGACATAGTAACTTGCCCAAAGCCACATGGGTAGAAGGTAGCAGAGCTGAGATTCAAACTCAGGTCTGTCTAACTTCAGAGTCTGAACTTGTTAAATTTAACAAACCATCGTGCTACCTTGTCCAGCACCAGAAGGTCTAAGGTTATTCATTACTTCACATTCTGATGCTGATAATCACTGTTTTGAAGTAATTCGTGGTTCTTCTTTATAGATGTCTAGTTAGAACTCCTTATCATAGATGAATGATTGTTCCTGTTGTTGCCACATTTTATTGTTTTCCTGCTTGCCAGTTTTATGGTATAAATCAACAGAAATATGTATATTGACGCACAATATCTAGTGCCATTTTCCCTCTTCCGTATATGAGACAGTGACTTAAGTTTTTGTACAGTTTGTGTAATAGTTCATAAACGTATGGCTGTTTTTGTTCTTCTGTGTGTCCTGTTGGGTGCTACAAGTCATGTAAGGATGTATGAACTCCCCTCAGGGAGTTTACGGTCTAGTAGATGGTGGGGGAGGGAGACAGATCCACAGATGACTACTGTTCAAGTCAGAATGTTCTAAGTGCTGGGGTGTAAGAAGTGACGTGACCATTCATAGAAAAGTTGAGTAAACCAGGAAAGAATTTACAGAGCAAGTAGAATCTGAGAGGAGTTTTGAATTTTAAATAGGTGTTTGAGAGTTGTATTCCAAGAGGAATGAGCAGCATGAGCAAAGGTTTGAAGACTGAAAGATAATTTAAAGAGAGGATGCGGGGCTTCCCTGGTGGCGCAGTGGTTGAGAGTCCGCCTGCCAATGCAGGGGACACGGATTCGTGCCCCGGTCCGGAAAGATCCGACGGGAAGATCCCACATGCCGCGGAGCGGCTGGGCCCGTGAGCCATGGCCGCTGAGCCTGCGCATCCGGAGCCTGTGCTCCGCAACGGGAGAGGCCACAACAGTGAGAGGCCCGTGTACCGCAAAAAAATAAAAATAGAAATAAAGAGAGGATGCGGTCCAGCTTGAGCACGAGTGGGAAAGCTGTTTGGGACTATGCTGTGAGATGACTTAAGTGCTAGGGGAAGGGTTAACTAGTTCCTGAGGCAGTAGACATTACAGGTTTTTGACCTGTGATACTAGATTTCGTAAGTTTATAAGTAGCGTTTAGAGTCCATCCTGTGGATTGGAACTGAGGAAGACTCTAGGCAAGAAACTGATTAGGAGGCTGCAGTAAAATTGAAGGCAAGCCTTTTAAAAGGCTCTGTAACAGTGAGATTGGGAAGGAGGGAATAAATGTCAGTGGCATTGGCTGAAATAAAATCTTGAGTACCTAGCGATCCATATGTGTTTTGTGTAAGGGAGAGAGAAAAATCAAAGTTGACTGAAGTTTCAAACCTGAGTCACTTAGAAAATGGGGGTCATCAGAAAAGAAATGAGGATTAAAAACCATTTTGAGGAAAGCCGATACTTGTTTTGTATTGCATGACAGTAGTACTGTGCACTTACTAGTAGCGATTGTGTTTAATGGGAGACGCTTTCGTTCTCTGGATTATTTTTACTGGTGGTATTAACACTAACCAAATATGAAACATTGTTTTGATTATTTGTGTTTGCTACAATTTCTATAAACCAATATAGTTCAGATTGTATAGTTTTGAGAATTCATTTTTGATAAATCATATATCGTAGTAAGTTTATTAACAAAGCTATTTTCAGCTAGTTGTGTTTGCTCTGTTTTAGTTATCTGTCACCGCATAACAAAGCACCCTAAACGTAGTGACTTAAAACAGTTGTTTAATTGTCTCTCATGAGTCTTTGGGTTAACTGGGCTTAGCTGGGTGGTGGTTTCTACTCCTTATCATGTCAGCTGGGGCTTCAGTCATCTAGGAGCCTTCAGTCATCTAGGAGCCTTAGCTGGGTGGAAGTGAAGAGGGCTCACTCACATGCTAGTCATGACTTGGGCTGTGAGCTGAGCTAGAGCTGATCATTGGCGTGACTCGGTTCTCCTTCATGTGGGTGCTCACATCATGGTGGCTGGGTTCCAAGAAGGAGAGTCCCAAGAGCCAGCATTTCATGAAGAAGGAAGGACACACTTCCAGTTCTTCTAAGGCCTAGGCTCAAAGATTCCAGAACACCTCTTCTGCCATATTCTACTTGTCAAAACAATCACAGGCACAGCTCAGATTTGTGCAGAGAGAAAATAAGCTCCACTTCTTGATGTGAAGAGTGACATGTACTTACAGAGCCGGGTGGAATTAATTGCTGGAGGCTATCTTTGGAGACCAGTTACCACATACCCCAGAACTTCTAAACCATTCAACAGATATTTATTTGAATATTCACTTTCTATCAGATAATGTTCTAATAGATTCAGTAGTAACTGGATTCATAATGCCATTTCCTT